TTCCAGCCCCCCAGCTTTCCTGGCTCTCATCTTAGCGATTTCCCAGCCAAAACTTTCACGCTCTCGTACGTGGGGATCAGACGTGCGTAAGGGTTGGCACAGCGATCCTGACTTAAGATTTGGGACTCTGGCACTTGGTTGGCTTAGGCAATCCACTGCCAACATTTTCGCGCCAGAGCTTGCGTGGTTAAAATAAGCAGACAGACGCAAACACACAGACACACTAACACACACATGCACACATGTTGTGGATCATCACAATATGTGCTTTTGCACTTGCATATATGCAACCCAAACTGGAACGCACCAGGCTTGCCAGTGCGATCATGCGATTTTGCGCTAAACCCACAGATCGCTAATAGCAGGGATGATCCCTGCGTTGTAGCTTAACACTTGGGCTCATGTTGACTACGCTCTGGCCTCTCCCGGGATGAAGGAGAAAAAGCGTCGGTTGGAATGAAGGTATTACGTCATAGGGCTGCACAGACTTCCAGGTACATGATTACTAGTTTTTTGCACGAAGCCCGATCGTTTTTTGGTAAATGTTCGCTTTTTGAAAGAGTGCAAATTTCCAGTTCACTGTTGCGGAAGAAAATTTTAGCGGGATTAAATTTCGATTCAGAGATTCAGAGAGAAGAATTCGGTGATGCAGTGGTTGCAACAATTCTTCTCATGTCTTATTCGTCCGGGTTCTTAACAATCCTAATGTACTGTAGATTCCCTCTATTATCTCAGTCGCTTCTTACTCTTTCTTCGTCAGCTGACAGATATGCCTGCTTCACCTGAAAGAAAGATTAAGACGAAAGTATCCGAAATATCAACTATTTACCCGTGCTCCAAGTATAAGCAAGAGTGCGAATATTCAACGTGTTATATTAAAAAAGAAAATATCGGCTTGTAGCGGCAAAAAATATCGACGTTCAGCAGCGAAGCTCCAAATCTTCCTTCGAGCTTTGCGAGCCGCTTTAGCTTCCGTAGTCGCCATCTTGTCCCAATCTCTTCGCACTGAAGGCCCTTAGCCGCTCCTGTCGATCTGTTTTTCTCAACATGTTTTACACATATTTGACAAAAACACCACATGTCCAGATTGAAGACAAACATAACACAATATGTATAGATATGCGACAAACAAAGTAATGATTATTAATCGCTGAGAGTCTACACATGTATATACATCACCGAAAATCCAAAGCTGTGCAGCAAACATTGCTTAAAGCGACATTCACTAAAAAGTAGAAATGTTGCTGGGAAGGAGGTTCGCCAAAAAATTCAAGTTTGCAAATGAAATGAATGTTCATTCAAATATTTGGATGTGGGCGGTCATTCGCTGCAAAACTTACTCATGTCTGATTTTTCAGTAAAGTTTAGTATTTCGCGTAACCATTTGCAGAGGATTTCGCTTCTAAGCGAAATTAAGTCAACACTTAAAAGTAGAATATCCCAGCGATGTTTCAGCCTTGCACTTTATCCAGTAAGCGAAATAACTAGTTCGCCACAAATACCGTTGAAGTGCCTCAAGTCACGGCGCAAGTGCAAATCGGTACTAATTTTAGATATCCTCTTTCTCATATGGGCGACAAATATGCTGACAAAATTTCAGCCACTGCTTTCCTGCAAATTTTCGAGTTAAGACAGTACTAAGTAGCAAATTTTGATGTGATTTTACACACTGCACAAGCGCCCGCGTCAGTTGAATTTGAAAACTTTAGCTCGCAAAAGCAAAAAGAATATCCCTGCGAAGTTTCAGCTTTGTACGTTGCCTGGTTCGCGTAATCGTTTCCCGCAAAGAAACTTGCATACTTTTTCGGGGGGACCGTACGTGGGGTCCAGGCGAAAGAGGGGAGGATGACACACAGGATAGAATCATATGCCCAAAATTCCAGCCTCCCAGCTTTCCTGGTTGTTGAGATGAAAATGGGTAATAAAGTTCACTCGCTTCCGTACATACATACACACAGGCGACCTCTCGACAATATGCGTTTTTGCTGTCTGTAGCAGCGCTACAGCGCTACACAGCGAAAATGCATAAAAAAAAAATATTTTGTGACGTATCCAGCCATGTGCGGCATATCGCCTAATGTATGCTTTCGTTTTTGTACAATATCAAAAATTATTTGCAGAGCCAAGGATTCCATCGTGGCTTCCACTTCGGGTAATATTTTTAAACACAATTCAGTTTTTAGTATGCATTTTTGCTGCCCAACGTTATAGAAGCGCTATAGCACTGCTACAGCCAGCAAAAACGCATATTGTCGAGAGGCTGTGTGTGAATGTGTGTGTATGTGCGTGTGTGTGTGTGTGTGTGTGCGAACAATTTTACAAATCAGGCAAGGAACAAATCTAAAACTTTGCAGAGATATTCTCTGTGCATGTGCGAGCTTAAGATTTCAAATTCAGCTATCGCGTAAGGTTGTGAAGCGCGTACGATCACGTCAACGTCTGCAACTTGGTACAGTGCTAACTTGATAACTTGCCGGAAAACAGTGGCTAACATTTTATCAGCATGTTTGTCGCCATATAGGAATTGGATACCTAAAATGAGTACCAATTTGCGCTTGAGCCACGATTTAAGGCACTATAAAGATAATAGATATTTCGCTTACCGAATAAGATGCGAAGCAGAAACTTCGCTGAGGTATTCTATTTTCAATTGCGGTATTAATTCTGCTTGAAACTGAAGTCATCCGCAGGTAGGCACAAGAAATACTCAACACTACCAAAAATCAGAAACGAGTGTATTTTGCAGTTTTCGAACAACGGTCCTTATCCAAATATGTAAATGAGCATTCAATTCATTTGCGTACTTGGATTTTTATGCGTTTTTATGCTTTTTTGCCTATATGTAAATTGCAAAAACGCATATTGGGACGAACTTGTCTGTGTGTATGTATGTGTGTGTGTATGTTTGTGTGCGTATGCGTGTGTGTATGTGTGTTTGTCTTTCCGGGTATTCCAACTCGGCAGGCAAGCAAGTTTTAGCGCCAAGATTTTGCTATTGGGTATCCCAGCCAAATACCACCCCAGAACCGCGGTATCATCCCTCACGCACGTCTGGGCCCCGCGTACGGGAGGGTGAAAGTTTTGGGGGGAAAACTGATAAATCGGGAACGAGAATAGATGGAAGGCTGAAATTTTGAGATTATGTTCCCCGTCCACACATAACTAAAAGATTTCAAATTCAGCTCCCAGGTGTGCGTGGGTCCCACGTGCAGCCCCGTGAAATTTTTTGGCAGGGAAATGGCCAACTCGGGAACTAGCAAAGCTGGGAGGCTGAAATTTTTAGGGTAATGCTTCCAGTTTATGTACCACTTAAATTTTTCAAATTCAGCCCCAGGGCATGCGCGATTCTCGTGTATGGACACTCAAATTTTTGGCGGGGGAATTACTCATTGAACATCCGGGTCATAAATAACTGGCCATTGCACGGGCTGCCCATGCGAAGATACTTTTTTTGCATAGCTCCCCGCAGATTTCTGTCGCTAACGACACTGGTTTTTCTGGCAGATGCTTCTAGCTAAAAGAATTTCAGACTGGCCGCAAGGACTGTCAGGAAACATTCCTTCAAAATCCCAAACTTCTAGCTTCTCACTTTTCTGAGTTAGCAACTTACCTGAAAGAAACTTTCACGTGCCTCTACGTAGGTACCACGCTTACCCGCAGGCAGGGTTTGAGCTCACTAATACCCACTTGGACGGGGAACATCCCCTAAGATTTCAGCATTCTAGCTTCTCAGATTTCCGAGTTATGAACTTCCCGAAAAAAATTTTGGCGGGCCCGTACGCGTTTACCACACTTACTCGAGGATGTGTTTGAGCTCATTAATACCTACTTGGACGGGGAACATCCCCTTAAGATTTCAACTTCCTAGCTTCTCAGATCACCGAATTATGAACTTACCCGTAAAAAACTTTGGCGGTCTCTTACGTGGGTACCGCATGCGTTATGGCGTCTATTTTGGGGATTGGAGCCCACATGTGTATGTAGATTAGGTTTTCAGTTTCATCCCTGCAGTTTTTATGGGTCTTGAGATGAAGAATCGGTACAAGCGCATACACAGACACACAGACACACGGACAACCCCTCGTCAATATGCGTTTTTGCATTGCATAGCTACCGCTAAACGGAAATTGTTTGTTTTCTTTTATGTAAAATTTACGATAGTTTACGGTATTGAGCGCACGGGGTAGGTGTGAAGAAACAACTGTTCATGCAGTTAACCTAATTACTTCAAGCTTAGTGCAAAAACGCATAATCGCACCGGCTCGCTTTGTGCGTTCCAGCCTGGGTTTGACAAACGACCACTCGAGCAACATTTTCACTTTTTGGTGAAATGGAAATTTGCACTTTTTTAAATTTTCAAAAAGCGAGCTTTTACCGAAACCACCGGGCTTAATGCAAAAAACTAGTAACCATATACCTGGAGGTTCATGTGGCTCTGTAATGCACTATTTTCATCCCAACCGACACCCTTTCTCCTGCGTGCTGAAAGGGGCCAAAACTCGGCCAATATGAGCCCAAGTGTTAGGCTACAGCGCGGGGATCATTCCTGTTATTAGCAACCTGCGAGTTTAGCAAAAAAAAGCATAATCGTGCCGGTAAAGCTGGCGCATTCCAGCCTGGGTTTAAAATGTACAAAATCGAAGGGTTTTCTCTTCTGCACTCATCAATAATAATAGGACGTGGCCAGGTGCCGAGCTCAGTAGCTCTACCCTTTCCTTACTGGCTCATTCGCAACAGCTTATTTCCTCGATTACGAATCGCTGACTAAATGGCAAAAAACAGATACATTATCCTTCAGCCAACATTTCCTTTTCCTGTGTCAAGTTATGAAATGCGAACTTTTCTGCAGTTTAGTCTGCCCTGTGTGGAGAAATAGCGATTTTCAAACCATTAATTTATTACCAGGAAGAAGTGTTGCTTCTTTGGTTTCTGGATGCCTTCTGCATTTTTCTATTTTCGATAGTACCAAATCAGTTCACACCGCCCTAATCCAACGTGCCATGCGATGGCATCTCCTTAGCAGTAAAGTAAGTTTGCTGTCCCTGGATGCAATGACTTATTTATTCCTGAACGTCATAAATTTAACTGGCTTTTTAAATTAAAAAGCGCATGAAAAAGCATACTGTCATTCAGAATTGGTAAGCCACAGGGGTCAGCAACTAAATATGATCTTAGAATAACAAGGACTAGCTGGATAAGTGTTGGAATTCCTGTGTTCACTGCAGCAACGTATCAGTAGCAGCAATTCCATAATTTTCGCAGCACCTACTTGCATCTGACTGCTATGCTTTGTATCCACTGCTTCAAAACATCCAATGTTCAAAGCTCACCCGAATGCCTTTTGTCTTAAAAGTGGCCCTGCGATGTCACTCTCATAACGGCGAAAATGCCAATAATTTTTTAAAATTCAGTTCAAATACACGCATTTTACAGTATTCTTTCATCTTGCCCATTTAACTAATACGGATTCTTCCTGTACAAACATGTAGTGCTTGGATTACTCGTGACGCGTCGCTACTAAATAATTTCATATTTCAGGCTGTGAATTTTAAGATTGAGGCTTTTGAAAATCCGCTCCAATCAACAGTTGACTACTATACGCGGGTTATTTACCTTATTGCTTTTTTATGCGCTTTTGCTTATACGCAAGTGCATATTATGACGACCCGGTTGTGTAATGTGTCTGCCTGGAAATTTCAGCTCAGCAGCCAAGCTTGCTCCGACGCCGAAATTTTGCCGATGGGTTCCCTACCGAGTGCCATTCCAGGACCGTGGTACCAACCCTCACAAAAGTCTGGGCCCTGCGTACGGTGGATGAAAGTTTTAGCGGGAAAATCGCTAACTCAGGAACCAGAAAAGCTAGAAAGCTAAAATTTTGATGTTATGTCCCCCGTCTACACTGAACCCAAAGATTTCAATTTCAGCCCCAGGTGTGAGTGGTTCCCGCGTATGGTCCCGTAGGGACTCCTGGCGCGAAAATCGCTAACGCGGGAACAAGGAAAGCTGGGGAGCTGAAATTTCCAGGGAATGCTCTTAGCATATGTACAGCTTAAATTTATCAAATTCAGCTGCCGGTTACGCGTGGTTCTCCCTTACGGCCCAATGAAAATTTTTAGCAGGAAAATTGCTAATTTAAAAACCAGAAAATTTGGAAAGCTGAAATTTCAACGAAATGTCCTCTGCCAAAATATCGCATAGACAATTAACTTTCCGTACTTCGAGGACCAGTGTATCGCACATTTCTAGCTACTGGGTTTCCGAGCCATCTCATTGCAGCACGAAATATTGTAAAAGCGCATTATCGCAAAGGCCCACCCGGTGCGCATCGCCAATAATTTCAATAGTTTGCGACACACACAGGTGTTAACTGTTTTGTGTTTTTAGTGTTCAGCAACTTGACGTTAACTTCTTCGCAGAATTTCTCCACTCTTCTCAATCAACGTGACCTATCCCACTCATTTTTCATACATTCGTCACCATACACACTGCCCTAAGCAGTTCTTTTTCTCTCCCAATCTGCGCCCAATTTGTTTTCATTGATTTCGATGAGATATTATTCAGCTTGAACATTGCGTGATGTTAGTGAATAATCAAAGCGGTTCTTTGTTTAGATCTTTAACACTAAGGCAATTTTTGGTCCGAAATGTCTCAAGAAACTCGAAGACCTTTTGAATGAGCACGAGCGGCAATACAATTACAACAATACGATTTGGCTTACATACAACGGGGACCAACAGGTGTGTTAGAATATGTAATATCAATGCTTCAGCAGTGCAGAGGATTTCTAAGGGGCAAATTTACCTCATCTTTAGGTATTCAAATTTTACTGCTCCTTTCATCATAGATCATAAGTACTTCAAAATTCATCGCGTCGGAACCAATTCAAATTTTGCATTTCTTAAGCCAAATTGTAGCTTGCTAAATAGACCTACAGCTACAAGATAAATTAAAACGCTGCAAACTCACTGTTATATCCTGGAAATTGTAGCTGTCGTAAAGTAACACAGGTCAAATTTACTTACTCAAAAATGGAAGGTGAGTCAAGTTAGGAATTGAAATCAATAGGTGGCTTGAATGATTTAACATGCGCAGCAATGCAGTGACATTAATCTGTAAATTTCTTGAAAACGGGGTGAAATTGTAGGTTCCTCTCTTTTAACAATTTTCCTGAAAACTTCCGAATGCCTTCACTATTTCATAATTAGCAATACATTAACAAAAAACCGTAATGAAAAAATATAAAAGTATTTTAAAATCCCTGTTTATCAAGGGTTTCTGAAAGAAAGAAGATGGCTATTTCATTTGTTTGTGTCATTTCCAACGCTGCTCAAAGTTTGTCCGAGAATCTACATTTGCTCAAGGAAAAGCTTCGGTAACAAACTTGTTAAAGACACTGATGAAATGCGAAGATGAAAGCTGTTGCTAATTTCAGTCTATGTTTAATCGCACAATCGAGACAGACAGCCTCATTGAAGCATTTGAGCTGCCACCACTTGTACCGTATGAAGACGAACTGCGCGCAATCGCTGCACCGAGCACTGAAGAAGCAGCTGTGGCAGCTGCATCTAAAGCGGAAACATCAGGGTATGTTTTTGCGTTAAGAAAAACGAGAAATTTTCCCGTAATCAAATGTAGCAAATGCAACTGAACCGCGCGTGCGCACAAGCCTGAAAAAGAATTTTAACTGTTCAACTACTTTATAAAGACGCAGTTTCGAAGGAACACTTGCGTAGAATGTGTCACGCATGTTTACACGACCTAAGAAGCGTGTTATAAAAAACTCTTTCTACTTCCTCCGCATTTACAAACATCGGCAGATCGAGCGGCGGATAGGAGAAGTGGGGAGGAGGGGCGGCGCGAACGGACCCCAGTATCACAGGCGCCGCGTTAAAGCCCAGGTCTGTTCATAAATAAAACTAAAGTAACTTCAAGTAGGAGTGTTTGTCCCCAATTTTTGCATAGTTCCCC